CCACCCTTACAGGATTGTGAGTTAAAAAACACAGAAGTTCTTAATACAGTGCCTGGCCCATAATAAGGGCTCAATCAATCAAGGGTGATGTATTATTCAGGAACACATGATCTGAGTTTTCTAATCTCAAACCTTGTCATGGACATTCCCACTACTTAAAAACTATATATCCTATATCTTAAAAGATATGAGCTCATGTGGTGAAGGGCAGGGTGGTGGGGGGGCAGGGGCTAAGTGAAGGGGGACAAAGTGGGGTGGAAATGGGGGATATCTGTAATAGTGCCAACAATATAAATAAATAAAATAGAAAGTTGTGAGCTGCAAAGGTTTATTGATTTATATTTTTAATTAAATTTATTGGTGTGACATTGGTTAATAAGATTATATAGGTTTCAAGTGTACTCATCCATGATACATAACATGATACATGCATGATATTGTACCCAACAGGTTTATTGAATAATCAGGAAGTAAAGGTCACTTTTCTTTGTACTTCCTCCCATTCCTGGTTACCCAGTTCCATTGGGAAAGGACAGAAAAGGAAAGCATAAGGATGTTCATCTAGTCAACTTTACATAGGGATCCAAATTTCTAAGTGCATTTTCTTTTTTTAAACTATATTTTTATTGATTTCAGAGAGGAATAGAGAGGGAGAAAGAGATAGAAACATCAATGATGAGAATCATTTATTGGCTGCCTCTTGCACGCTGCCTACTGGGGTGGGGCCTGCAACCCGGGCATGTGTCCTTGACTGAAATCGAACCTGGGATCCTTCAGTCCACAGGCCGACTGAAGCCAACTCTATCCACTGAGCCAAACCAGCTAGGGCCTAAGTACATTTTCTTGATTCACATTCATTTCAAAAGACTGACACAGCCCTAATTTCATCAATCATAACTGTAACGGGAGATGGGGGAGTGGGAACAATGGGGTAAGAGCACTGGGCCAGGGATTACTGTGAAGGGCCAGAGAGTAAATACTTTTGTCTTTGTAGGCACAGGGATCTGTGTCACAGCTCAACTGTGCCACCGCAGCAAGAAACCACCCTAGACAATATGTACAAAATAAGCATGGTCGTGTTATAATAAAACCTTATTTATGAACATTGAAATCTGAATTTCATGTAATTTTCGTATGTTGTTAAATACTCTTCTTTTCCCCCAAAACGTTTGAAAACTGGAAAATCTATCCTAAACTTATGGACCATACAAAATTAGGCAGTGGGCCAGATTGGGCCTAAGGGTCACAGTTCTCTAACCCCTGCTTTATTAAACTATGTTTCCAATCCAACCAGCAAAGACTTGCATTTTGAGGTGTCCCAAATCAGTTAGTTATAGAACCTTTATATTCAAGGCACAACAAAGGTGACTTTAACAATTTTAAAGAAGGGCGGGGTTGTGAATTGTTGAGGTGTGTTTTTCATTAAGGTTCCTAAAAAACAAAAAAAAACACTACATTTTGTTTTGGGGCAACATAATTTAACAGCTAGAATAGACGTTATCTTGCATGTTATTTTTGGTCAATAAAAGTTTCAGGGAATAAAGGGTCAATACCCTGGTAAAGTTGAGGCTCAATGTCAGAGCCCAAAGAGCAAGAGTGTGAACTACTTCACTCTAATGAATCCACTGCTTAAACTGGAAAGTCATGTCAGTTCCATCCAGGTTGTGAGGAGAGGGACACAAAGACTATCCATATTTATGTATATAAACAAATACACATGCTTTACCCAAATCCTTAACATTTAACTTTATAAAGAAAAATATTTCCAACTGCTTCTTAGACATGTCAGATTCTAGCCAAAATTAAGGACATGTTCTAGAACTTAAGATAAAAGCCCACAGGACATTTTCTACCAGTAGTGACAATTATATTTAAACAAGACAAATTGCTACAATACAACCCTCAAATACATTGTACAAAAGCATGCAAGTATAGTAAGTTTCAGATTACATTTAATATTTTAAAATAAAAATATATATAGTCAGTGATTTTCATGCTGCTTTTCACATGCTTCTGTTTTAAACTATTTCATGTTTAAAGCCAGAATTAGTTTCATGTTTATTACAGTGCTCTTTAAACACATGTATTATGTTTCAAAGTAGTCTTTTACTTAAACTTAAAAGAGAAATATTTTCTGGCAGTTTTTCTGCTAGAGTCCATAAACACACCAAGAAAAAGAATATGTGAATAAGCAGGAATTAGAGAAGGAATGGGTCTTGTGTAATACTCAAGACAGCATGAAAGATAACTGATAGTACATACATTCAACATCAAATAACTGCTCCTAGGAAGAGCATCTGTTGTCACATTCAATGTGCCAAAACCTAGGTGTACCTTGAGGGGAGGAACTATGACTGATCCATGACTGCATCTTTTTATTGAGTGCACACAATAGGCACTCAATAAAAATTAGTTGAATAATACATGAAAGGCATTAACCCTAAAGCACTATTTATAAGATTACTAAATTGGTTGATGAGGATTTTATGAGATAAACGATGTCTGATAATGGTAGGTATTTAAAGAGGAACAAACTGAGGTTCAACGAAGTGACCTAACTTGTCTAATTGGGTGGCAATGGAATAGCTGTGCCTAATTTAAAAATCTCCTCTCCCCAGTTCCTATTAGTCAAGAAACCTGGCTGAATACTAAAAACACAACTAGGAAAGAAAACCCTTGCCACTCTACATTGATAAAAAGTCAATTGTCTACTTTTCCTAGCTCAACCCTACACTCATAAAATAAGGAAAATGGTCATTCTCTCTGCATTAAGGGACAGAGAAATGGAAGAGATGTAATAAATCTACTATTATCACCAAGAAACTACATTACTAGAATGGATGGAAAAATATTTCCTCTTAACCTAATGAAACAAGCAATACTTCTTAAGAGTCACTCTTCCTCCTTTAATTTAAACTCTAGACAAAAGGAAAAATTTTGTTGCTTCAAAGGTCATTATAACTATGAAAACTGCCTCCTCTGGTATACATGTGTACTTTCACTACCGTCTGACAATAAATAAAAGTGGTTGTTCTCAAATGGTGTTTTACGTATCTATTTTTTTTTTTTTTTTAATAATGAGAGGTGTTCAGAAGTTGGTAGTCTTTTTTTTAAATATATTTCTTTATTGATTTCAGAGAGGAAGGGAGAAGGAGAGAGAGAGAAAGAAACATCAATGATGAGAGAGAATCACTGATCGGCTGCCTACTGCACACCCCCCACTGAGGATCAAGCCTGCAACCCAGGCATGTGCCCTTGGCCGGAATCGAACCTGGGACCCTTCAATCCACAGGCTGACGCTCCATCCACTGAGCCAAGCCGGCCAGGGCTGTTTTACGTATCTTAATTAAAAAAAAAAAAAATTCCTTAGGACCGCAAATCTAAAATTAAAACTGTTTTTGGTAACTGTTCACTCTTGGATCAAGAGTAGATTGGAGTTTACAACTAAAAGTCAATTTTAGAGGTAATTTCCAACAGCCTATCTGGTTAGCAAGAAAAACTCAATATTTTCACTAAAACTCATGCTTAAAAATTTATAACTTTTCAAACTCTGAAGCTTTCAAGTTCTGTTTAGTCTAACCAATTCTTAGTTTATACATTAAATGTAACTAAGAGACCCCTGATATAGCAGGGGAAAACGCTAATAATGTTAGGTCAATAACAGTTTTTGGGGTTTTTTTGAGACTTTTCATAAGCATTTATTTGAGCCAAACTGAGGACAATGTCGGGAAGCAAGAGCTCAAATGCTCCCAATAACAGTTCTTTAATGTTACTATTCTTTTTAAAGGTAATAAGAGTTGATAATTTTCAAATAAATGTTTCCCTCTCAAAGTATAGTTCCTGTAGTATAGCTGACTAAGTTGAAATAAGTCAGGCAGAGAAAGGCAAATACTGTTATGACTTCACTTATATGTGGAATTTAACAACAACAACAAAAGAATAAATAAAACACAAGCAGATCCATAGATATAGAGAACAAGCTGATGGTTGCCAAAGGGGAGGAGGATGGGGATGGGAAAAATACAAATTTGATATGTTTAAAAAAGCTTCCTTGTCAATTTTTCCCTATCAAATTTAAATAGAGAATTTAAAATAAACTCTAAAAATGAATTTATAGGAAAAAGAGCAGTAGTACACACACAAATATCCCTCCCACCATTTAAATTTAACATTCAAACACTTGAGAGTCCACGAATAAATTAAGTACTAGACAGTATATGTAATAAAAAGAAAAGGAAGTCTCTCTTTACGGCAACCTTCTGCCAGCACTAAAACAGGAACTCTTCATTTCAGAAACAAACTCTAAACCCTTCCAGTTAACAGTATTTTAACATATAGCTTAAATTGCACGGGCTTTTCCGAACCTAAAATCTAAAAAGAAATTCAACAATTGTAACAAAAACCAAAATTGTGTTATTTTGGGCAAATTAACTTCAAAAACAAAAATCCTTAACCTTTATAGTTAAAATGGCCCCCAGATTTTTGATGTCCTTCCTTCCCAGGTTATATGCAATAGTTTCTCTACATTCCTTTCTTAAATCCATTTCAATAACAAAGAATCCCATATGAACACCCCCTGATGCCCAAAACACCACAAACTACACTCACCACCAAAAATTAAAGAAAAATTCCTCACGGAAACATGTTCTAATAAACCAAAGCAATCTATCCTTAAAACCAATGGGGTAAAATAGTTTCCAGTTTTAATTATTACTGTGGTAATTATATAGTTTTTAAAGACATAAAAATACTACAGGTTTGGGGAAGAGCTAAAACAACTTACAGGATTTGTGAAAAAATGGGAAAAAGAATTATAGTTTTGCACAGTTCCAATCAAGCACAATCCGGGATTATATAAAATACAGTCTTTAATTACAGACTAAGAGGTTCCTAGAGGAATCCTCTCAATGTGTACCCCCATTGCTGTATCCACTTAGGCACGAATCTCACTGCAGTCATATGGTGCCTTGACCTTTAGCCAACCATGACTTTGCACTCACCTTAGCCCTTCCTCCGGTAACCCAGTTAGTCTCAAACTATCAGGGCGATCTCGTCTTCTCCTGTAGAGACCTGAATGTGAAAGCTCTTTAAGCTGTAATTCAGTCATACTTCTCTCTATACATAAATTATTGACACTTTAAAGCATTTATGCTGAGCAGTGTGGCTGCCAGGGCTCAGAAAGACAGTGCCCCTGCTGCGGAACCTAAGCACACCTGACCCAGAGTTAGAAACTTCCAGGCAGGCCGGCGCTGAAGCACAGCTTCCTGTTTTTCTGCTGGTACACGCCCTCCTCGCAAGGCCTGGCTTGCCTTCTCTCTGGGTCTTGCACCTTGGAGGGTGTGTATATGTGTGTGAGGGGAGGAGACAGGGCGGGAGGAAGGGTGTGTGGCCTGGGTTACTCACATAATGACCTGGGTTGCTCATTAATAAGCAAAATTTAACTGTTATGAATAACTGCACCAATTCTTTTATAAATCTTTTTAGCATCATTCTGCATTAAAATTGGGCTAAAAAGCTCCAGTAAGGTAATAACTAAAGAAGGGCCCTGCCTTATTTTATTTGTTAGGAAACCATTATCATTTCACAAGCAGCTGTCAGTATAAAGAAGTGCCTGGTCATCATGAGCTCTTTGGGATATTTTCCTTAAAAAGGGGGAAAGACAGAATTGTAAGAAAAACAGTCCAATTCCTCCCTCTCACACTAGACTCTAAAGCCTCTTTAGAAAGAAAGTATCTTTCCCCCACTATCACTCAAAAATTCATAAATGAAAGTAAAGTGCTTTCTTATCAACCTCCATTCAATGATTTTCTAAATCTACAACTACCCATTGAATACTCCCATCATAAAATGTGCACCGCAGTTTAATCACTATTGCAGTGCCTGTGCAGCCCCTGTATTTATTTATCTGTATATTTGACCCTACACAGTGACAAAGTTAGAAAGGAGGTTTTGGGTTGGTGGGGCAGGGTATGGGTGAGTGTTTGTAAGGGGAGTTTGTGGATAGTGGAAGATGATAATATGGGGCAAGTTCTCTTTTTTCTTTTATTTTTCAATTACAGTTCACATTCAATATTGTTCTTTATTAGTTTCAGATATACAGCAAAGTGGTTAGAAAATCATGTACTTTATAAATTGGCCCCTCTGATATTTCAAGGACCACCTGTCCCCATACATAGTTATGACGCTCTTATTGACTATATTCTCTATGCTGTACTCTGGGACTATGCTGTAACTACCAATTTTTACTGCTAATCCCTTCACCTCTTTCACCCAGGCCTCCCATCCCCTTTATCATTCAGCTCCAAATGATGGTAGTGCAAGAGTAGGCAAGGATCCCGCCTCCAATCTGACTGAATCCCACTCAATACATATCAGAATATCACAGACATAGTTTAGTCCTTGGCAAGTTCTTAGCCAATAGTTGAGCTTTATGGTTCCAGTAAGTTCTCTCTGAGTAACTGTATCAGCTTCTTTCCATTCTAAAATCCCCCTAACAAGAGTACAGAGAAGTGGGTCTGAAACTTTCTGTTACAAGAATTAAAAAGTCAATCTATTCCTCACTTAAAAGTATCTGTATTATACATACAAATATTAAGGCACCCCACAAGGAAAGGGGAGGGTAGATCTTACTCCTTCACTCAGGACATGCAGATGCCAGCTAGATCCACTTAGGGATACCATTTGTCACCCTGCTTCTATGGCCCTAATGGAAAACAGACAACTTTCTATAGCTGCCATCAAAATATAATGTATGTTTTTAAAAATGTAAGGAAAAAATTACTATTTTGTTACTATACTAGATTTAATTAGTGATAAAAGATGTTTTTTAAAAAAGGTGTCAGATGTATTTCTTTCCCTGGAAGGGACACAAAAAGCTGATAGATGATACTGGGTGCCTGTGGAGGAACAGTAGCAAAAGAAAGCCTTTCTGGTACATAACTTCTGAATTTTAAATATATTGCCTATTCAAATATTAGAAGTAATTTAGAAGATTTACATGTCTTTTGTATGGAACCCTAGGATCCTACAGAAGTATAAAATATAAAAAAGTTTACAGTAATACAAACAAAATTAGGATTCGTAAAGTGTCTAATTCTCACATTTTTGTCAAGACAGGTGAAAAACAAATGAAGAGAAACAACCATCAAGCTTTGATTTTTTTTACTCTAAGCATCAAAACAGAATAAATGCCTGATGAATAAAATACAAGTTAATTGTATTCACTGCAAACACAGAAACCTCAATATTCAACAGGACTTGTTTGGAGTAGCTATTTAAGCTGCCTGCTTGAAATTTCTCTTCGAGTGTACTTTCTCTTTGCTTGTTCAAATAAATTTTCTCTAGCGAAATAAATAAATAAATAAATAAATAAATAAATACGACTTGTTTGTATAGAAAAATGTAAATGAGAGGGCTTGATTTTTATTTTATTTACTTATTATTTATTTCTTTGAGAGTTTAATTTTTGAAAGAGTGTTTTAAAAAGTAATGCATCAGCTGACAAGGAAAAAGAGCTTGGTAACTACTAAAGGTTAAACAAGACAGGAAACACTTAATTGTGTGGGATGAATTCTGTTTTTTTGTGTTTTTTTTTTTTTTTTTTTTATTGATTTTTTACAGAGAGGAAGGGAGAGAGATAGAGAGTTAGAAACATCGATGAGAGAGAAACATTGATCAGCTGCCTCCTGCACATCTCCTACTGGGGATGTGCCTGCAACCCTGGTACATGCCCTTGACCGGAATCGAACCTGGGACCTTTCAGTCCGCAGGCTGACGCTCTATCCACTGAGCCAAACCGGTTTCGGCATGAATTCTGTTTTTGATGAGTCTAAGATTAAAAGAATGTGAACATCCTGGCTGGCGTGGCTCAGTGGTTGAGCGTCGATCTATGAACCAGGAGCTCATGGTTCAATCCCTGGTCAGGGCACATGCCTAAATTACAGACTCAGTCCCCAGTGTGGGGCATGCAGGAGGCAGCCAGTCAATGACTCTATCTCATCATTGATGTTTCTATCTCTCTCTCCCTTCCTCTCTGATGTGAACAGAAAAAAGTTCCCAAGCTTTATAATAAAGCCAACTGAAACAATTCTTGCTCTCTAATTTTTAAAATAGCTGTAATGACAAGTAGGGATTTCAATAAATCAATGCTTTCATTCTAACAAAATTGTCACAACTGAGTAAATTTAAATTCTGGGGCTTTGGGAAAAGTTCCTTTAAATATTGTCTTTTCATTGAAAACACAGAGACAGAGAAGAAAAGGCTTTCTCTTTTTCCCTAGCAGCCCTTCAAATATACCTTGAAATTTTACTGTGCTATAAAGTAGAACTAATTAAAGGGTACACAGGTACCCACACAATCTCTGAAAGGGAAATTCACACATGGTATCAATCTACTATTACTGGTTTATGCTGCAGCCAGATTAGCAACTATTCCCGGTTCCTGTATGCCAGGAGCCGGTCCATCCTTGCTGTTTCAAGGGACCTGGCATATATGGCATAATGTTCTTAATATGTTTGCTCACCTTCTTGGCACTATGTGTTTTAACGAAGGTCACCTCTCTGAGAAAGGTTGTTTCCCCAGGTAGGGATTTTCCCCTGAAGTTAGGGAGGGAATAAAACCCCTTAACTAAGTGCCAGGCGGGTAATTAATCACTTTAACTACGAACAATCATGCTCAAGCTACATAATCTTTACTCCCTGGAATGGAGATAAGAAACACCCTAACCTTTGGAATAGAGATTGATAGGATTGGAATCAACTGGTATAAATACAGATGTAACAAGACAACAGGACACAGAACCTAGACACAGAACCTACACAGAACCTAGAGACAGAAGAACTTCGCTGGAGAGAACATGGCAAAAGATCCTGGACAGAAACTGGAGACAGAACCTAGAGACAGAACCTAGAGACAGAACATGGCAAAAGATCCTGGACAGAAACTGGCCACAGAACCTAGAGACAGAACCTAGCGAGAGAACCTGGCTCCAGAACTTCGCTGGAGATCCTGACCAGAACTTGGCTAGAGATCCTGACCAGAACTTGGCTAGAGACCCTGGCTAGGCTGCTGATCAACTGAACGCTGCCTCTGTGTCGTTCCTTCTTCGCCGACTCCATCCACACCTTTGGGAACCCCTGGACCTGCTGGGGTTGGACCCCAGCACCTGTACATCAGCAATAGGGAGGGAAAACAGGTCTCTGAAACATAGCAGGGCCATCATATGCAAAGGCAGTTTTGTGTCCTCATTTCTTTTCCTTTAATATTTTTCTACAGAAACAGAGTTATCAATTGTGCCTGATTCTCAGATCAGGCCTATTTAAAATTAGTTTTAAATTTCAAACAACTGCCTTAGGATGCTATTGACAGTACAGAGGGAGATCTATGTAAGTACATTTTCTGTGACTCTCTATATAGGGAAATTTTTCTTTTTAGCACTCTAAACAATCTCCAGTCTAGTCTCCTATTCAATGCAGAAGTCTCTACTCTCATTCTCCACATAGCCTCACTCTTGTACAATATCCATGACCTGGGATTCTGCCTCTTTTTAGACAATTCCAGTGAAGCACTTACTACCTCATAAAACTCCTAGTGCTCTCTCCTCTCCTCCACATACAATGGCTGTTAAGAAGAATAGTTCACAAAAATTGTTAAGATGAGCATCTTCCATTTCACTTCTATAGTGCAGCTGATCTATGAACCTAACTACAACTTTTTATTCACTTCTGTCCAACTTGTTGGGTTCTCTTTGAATCTGTCCTTAGACTACCAGTATACTTAGATACCTGTCCCAGCCTGTGTCACCAGCATAGCTGATAATCACCTCCATAAACATACGCCCTTCATTGAAAAGACTAAATACAAAGCTCTATAGAGCATCACACAAGGAATCTGTTCTGCCAGGCTAACTCCTAACCCAGTAGTTTTCCATTTTATGGAGGGCATGTACCTTTTATGAATCTGATGAAAGTTAATGATGCTGTTTTAGAAAATGCATGTGAACATAAAATTTTATAACCATTTCAGGGAACTACAAGATCCTTCAGAAGCCAATAAATGGACTTTATCAGAGATCTTCCAATTTGCATTCATCTCCTCCTTTTCTGAAAACTTTCAACATCACAGTGTAGGCCTTTTGATCTCAATTGTTCTTTTAACACATTTACTTGGTGCCCTGCACTGGGCGCCGCTAGACACTAGTTCAGAAATTCCTTTTGTCTCCCCTTAATTTCTTTCAGCCTCCTAACTG